TATATATATATATATATATACATAAAATAATACACTTTTCTATGTAAATAATTACATTTATAATAATATTTTTTTTTATAATAAAGTTTTTTTTTTCCCCCATGGACACCATAGGCCTACATTTGATCATTTCACACTTCATGCCATCACCAGAAGCCTTTTACTGAGCAAATATGTTTTATGGCATGCCAGCACACTGCTGCAGGTCTCTTCTTCATCTTCAGAGATGCTGGTGGTGATATCTGTGTGTTGGTGTGACGTCTCTTCAGGTAGCATCATCATGTACGGGGCTCTGCTGCTGTTCGAGTCGGAGTTTGTGCACATCGTGGCGATCTCGTTCACGTCTCTGATCCTGACGGAGCTGCTGATGGTGGCGCTGACCGTGCAGACGTGGCACTGGCTGATGATCGTAGCCGAACTCCTCAGTCTGGCCTGCTACATCGCATCCCTCGTCTTCCTACATGAGTTCATCGGTCAGTATGCATTATAGACACACGGCTCCCAAATTACATGGAGATTATTTATTTATTTTTATTAAAAGATTTTAGTAATGTTATATTTATAAGGTAAAGATTATATTAATTTATTTATTTTTATTAAAAGATTTTAGTAACGTTATGTTTATAACGTAAAGATTATATTAATTATTTTTTTATTAAAAGATTTTAGTAATGTTATATTTATAAGGTAAAGATTATATTAATTTATTTATTTTTATTAAAAGATTTTAGTAATGTTATATTTATAAGGTAAAGATTATATTAATTAAGTAATTTATATATTTATTTATTTTTAATAAAAGATTTTAGTAATGTTACATTTATAAGGTAAAGATTATATTAATTAATTTATTTATTTATTTATTTTTATTAAGATTTTAGTAATGGTATATTTATAAGGTAAAGATTATATTAATTTATTTATTTATTTAATTTTATTTTTTTATTAAAAGATTTTAGTAATGTTACATTTATAAGGTAAAGATTATATTAATTAATTAATTTATATTAAAAGGTTTTAGTAATGTTATATTTATAAGGTAAAAATTATATTAATTCATTAAATGTTTTTTTATTAAAAGATTTTAGTAATGTTATATTTATAAGGTAAAGATTATATTAATTTATTTATTTATTTAATTTAATTTTTTTATTAAAAGATTTTAGTAATGTTACATTTATAAGGTAAAGATTATATTAATTAATTAATTTATATTAAAAGGTTTTAGTAATGTTATATTTATAAGGTAAAAATTATATTAATTCATTAAATGTTTTTTTATTAAAAGATTTTAGTAATGTTATATTTATAAGGTAAAGATTATATTAATTAATTTATTTATTTTTATTAAAAGATTTTAGTAATGTTATATTTATAAGGTAAAGATTATAATAATTAATTTATTTATTTATTTATTTTTATTAAGATTTTAGTAATGGTATATTTATAAGGTAAAGATTATATTAATTTATTTATTTATTTAATTTTATTTTTTTATTAAAAGATTTTAGTAATGTTACATTTATAAGGTAAAGATTATATTAATTAATTAATTTATATTAAAAGGTTTTAGTAATGTTATATTTATAAGGTAAAAATTATATTAATTCATTAAATGTTTTTTTATTAAAAGATTTTAGTAATGTTATATTTATAAGGTAAAGATTGTTAATTCATTAATTTATTGTTTAAGGCAAGACACTACAGGCAAAAACTTTTTTTCATGCATTGGTTAGTTTTGGGCTGTTTGGCTTTTCATAACATGTTTTTTCAGACTAGTGGAAAGAAAACATGCAAAATAGACTTGTGTGTTTATTTTATTGCTTTTTATCTATTTATTTTAATTACGATACATATCATCAAGATTTTTTAAATCTTGTTCATGTCCTTGTTCTTGTCATTTTAGTGGTATTATATATTTCATCTATGCTTTCTGCTCAAGGTTTTGCTACTGTTTATATCCTATTATTGTCATTAAATCCTGTTGTTATTGAACGATCTTCGGACATGTGCAGGTAAAGAATGTGGCCACATTCCACAGAACCATTGGTGTTTTCCTCAGAGAGAGTTCAGTGTGAATCTCTAAAATGTGCCGGTCTTGCTGAGTCAGCATTCCAGCGCGGCTGTTTCTGTGTTTGTAGCTGAGAGCGGCCCACAGCGCTGCAGAGGGAAATACCACAATCCTGCTCTCATTTCCTGCTGCGCTGATGCTACTCTGCCAAGGTCTCTGTGTTTATCTGAGCGCTTCTCCATTTCAAGAGTTGCACACTTTCTTACGCGGAAGAGCAATCGAGGATTCACATATTTCTGTTATTTTCGTTTTAATTCAGCAGTTTTTATAATAGAGCAGCTTCTCTACTAACAAGTATCATCGCTGTTTTTGTTTGCACATGTAGCTTTACAGCCGAACAAACTGAGGTGATACTCAAACACGCACTGTGTGTCAAAATCATTCATGCATTCCTGAAGAGACAACCTTGTGGCTTAGTTTTAATATTGATATTCAAAATAATGTAATAATATTTGGTTATTTAAATTGTTTTAGTTTAGTTTAATTTGTAGTATTTAGTGTAAAATGATCTTCTCGATTGTTTTTAGCACTTTTTTTATAAAATAATGAATATAAAAATGTGAAATTTTGTTTTTAAAATGAAATATAATAGTATGCAAAATAATATTATCATTAGTTATTTGAATTGTTTCACTTTTTTTTTTTTTTTTTTTTTTTTTTGTTTACATGGAGAGGGCGGGGTTTATGACCTGTACTGCAGCCAGCCACCAGGGGGCGATCAAAGATCCCGCAGCTTCACTTTTCAGGACGTGTGAGGCACACCCGGTGGAGATAATGGTGTCCATCTCGGGCTCACGTTCACAGCGCACAAACAAGTCTTCTTTCAGTAGTGTTGATGAGGCATGTGTGGCACCTGACTACATTAAACACAGACTGGTCACCAGCCGCCTCGCACTGTGACGCAGCTTTCCAGCAGTCGCACAACACATTTCAGCATTTGATCTGAGTCTCTGCTTCTACTGACCTGACAGTGGTCTGAGAGCATTTCGCAAACACTGTCTTGGTGTCATTTCTGTGAATAATGGTTTAAAAAAGTGCCAAAGGCTTATTCAGGAGGGATTTTAAATTTCGTGAGCAAGAATAGAACCAAAGCCTTTTACATGAGCATGTGGTTCAAACATGAAACAGACCAGACTTTTGGATCTAGAGGGGGTCGACAGAATGATCAGTGTCGCAAATGCCACAAAATCAACGTTGATTATAATCAGAAATGTTTCTTGAGCAGCAAATCAGCATATTAGAATATATTAGAAGACTGTAATGATGCTGAAAATTCAGCTTTGATCATCGCAGGAATAAATTACATTTTAAAATATATTAAAATAGAAAACAGTTATTTGAAATTGTAATAATATTTCACTATATTACTGTATTTGAGATCAAATAAATGCAGCCTTGGTGAGCAGAAGAGACTTTTCAAAAACATTTAAAAATCTTACCAACCTAATAATTAGTGTATAAATGTTAAAAAGACAAAAATGTTTTTAGTAAATGTCACTTGAAATTCTATTAAGTATAATTAAATGTATTAATTAGAGTTACTAATTACTGCCATGTGCATAACTTTATACTCAGACAAGCCTAGAACTGCTGGAACGTCAGGTTTGATTCACCCTGATGCTAAAATAGCCCTTAGTCTGATTTTTTCATTTCTGGTCAGTCTGGTTAGCTTGTGTGTTATGAGGCTGCCGCGAGCGCCGTTTGCTCTGAATCATGTAATTTCTCTAGCATTTAACTTTCAGTGAATCACTCTCCCTGAGGAAGACTAAACACACTGCTTAGCTTTGGGAATCGTCCATGAGACAACAGGGAAGTTTTTCCATGAGATTTAATAATCTATTGCTATTATGCGTCTCAGTTTTGTTGTGCGTTTGTATTCTCATGTGAAAAGGAAAAAAGGTAACACTTTATTTTAAGGTGTCCTTGTTACACATGTTACATGTACTTACTATTATAATAACAATTAAGTATGCATAATTACATGCAAATAACCCTAATCCTAACCCTAACCATATAGTAAGTACATGTAGTTAATTAATATTGCTCAGTACTTATATTTATAATTACACTGTAACAAGGACACCTTAAAATAAAGTGCAACTGGAAAAAAATGCACAAAGGGCAAAAGGGAAATTGGAGTTTAATTTATTTTATGGTGTTTTTGGTTCCTCTTTATTTCTTTCCAAAACTACTGAATTTGCTGATTCATGTGACTTGATCAGGTTACAAACGGAACGTATCTGTTGTACAACCAAAAATAATAAAAAACACTAATATTGCTAACACTTCATAATAAGGCCCCTTTAGTTAATCATAGTTAATACATTAACAGACAATAACCGACAATTATTATGAAGTAGTAGTAATTGTCAATGTTACGGATTAGCTATTTGTTAGCAATACTTAAAGGGGTCATATGATGCTTTTTTAAAGATCATTATTTGGTGTAACAGAATATGTTGACATGCTTTAATGTTCAAAAAACACATTATTTTTCAAATACTGTACATTATTGTAGGTCCTCTATGCCCCGCCTCTCTCAAACGCTTTGTGGGGGCGTGTTTAAACGAGGTGTTTTAGGAGGGCGTGGACCAGTCTTAACTTTTATAAAGAATATCTATTTGGGTTTGAGACTTTAGTCTTTGCAACTTTAGAGATCTTATTTATTCACAAACAGCTTGTAACACTCCAAAAAGAAAAAAAAACTTGAAATCGCATCATATGACCCCTTTAATGCTAAGTATCTGTTCATGTTAAATTTTATATATATATATATATATAATAAACATTAACATTATCAAAGATTAAATACTGTTAATTCAACATTTACTAATACTTACTATATTTATTACAATTTATTATAATTTATTTTAATATATTATTAAAATTAAGAAATGTATATAAATATAAAAGATGTATACATATATGTATATGTATGTGTATATATATACACTATATAAAATAACATTTACTAATACTTATATTTTACATTTTTATTATAATTATTTTAAAAAAAATTTAAACAACTGTTCATTGTTTGTTCATGTCAGCTCAGGTACATTAAATGATATTCAATACATAATTTAATTTTAATAATATATAAATTAAATATAATAAGTATGAGTAAATGTTGAAATTAACATTAACTAAGATTAACAAATGCAGAAGAAATATTTTTAATTGTTACTTCATGTTATCTGATGAACTTAACTCATGTTAACAAATGGAAGCTTATTGTAAAGTGTCACTGGATTATTATTATTATTATTATTATTATTATTATATGTGTGATTGATGGAAAGGATGTGCAGCTTGTTCTCGTGCTAGCTTGAGTGTGTGATTGGACACTGAATTTACTAAGTTAACTGGAAGCAACCTCTGGTATTTGAATAGCACGGATGATACGGTGCCATAAAAAACGATGCTATTTTCACATCCCCCGTCTGTGTGCTTGTCCACTCATGTGGTGACCTCTGACGATAGACCTGCTCCCCCATCTGACCACTATGAGCCGTACGCACACCTACACTTACAGACTACTCTCAATCACTGGTTTACAGGGCCAAACCCCATGATGCATCAGTCCGCACTGAACCTTGTAATCTTCTCCTCGAGGTGTCCTTAAAAGCCGACGTTTGTCTCTGTAAATGATCCCAAATGTGACGTGCACTTAACATTGATCACTATGTTGGTGTCTGTGTTTTTTGTAACTGTGCCATATCGTCTCTTTCACCTTCAGACACTTTATTCTGTCGAACTGACCGACTCTCGTCGTAATCGACTTCTCTTGCATGATCACAGTTTGTACCGATTGTGATGTGGACCTAGACTTAGAGCGAATGCCATCATCTTCACCTGACTACTTTTTTAGTTTTTTTTATGTTTATATGAAAGTATTATTTTATTTTTTTTGGTAATGTAATCTGCTGAATTGTAAATAACAAAAAATGTCTCTTATTTATTAATTTTCTTATTTGTGTTGGACTTTGCACTCTAATACTTGCAGAACAAAAAAGGGACGAATGTGTCTCAGGATAAGAGGTGTTTCAAATAAAAATCTTTTCTTAACCAATGCTCTGCTTGTTTCTTAATACAGTACAATTTCTGCCCTTATTTCATGTAATATAATATTATAAACTTTTATAACGTTATAGATGTATTACTGTCACTTTTAATTATATTAACTTGTCCTTACGGAATAAAATTATATATATATTTTTTTATTGATCTCAAAGTTTGAAAAGTAGTGTGTGTGTGTGTGTATGTATATATATATATAAGTGTTCATTTCAATTATTTGTATTTTATGACACTATCTGGTTTGGAATACTAGCATTCTTACTATTACTACATACAATTTTTTTAATAATAGAATGTTAAACAGTACAACATTATAAAATGTTTCAAACATTATTTATACACAATGTACTTAAAGCATATATACTGTAATAGTAAGAGTAGTATGCTATTCCAAACACATCCATTGTGTTTTAAACAAATTTATCATGTTTCACCAGAAGGGGGAGTCTCAAAAATGACATTCATCACTGCAGAGCTGACAAAAATTATAAATGCATTACTGTAATCAAACAGATTTTTTTCTCACTGAAAAATTGAAGACAAGCCTCCAATAAAAGTTTCAACCTTCTCTGTGCTTTTGGCCCACATTTAAATCTTAATTTTAGTGCTTTTCATTCTCCATCCATAAAGTGGTGCTGATGAAATGAGCTCTTTAGGTGAAGCGTATCATTACTCGTCTCTCATGTGGTACATTGTGTGGTGTGCCAGACGTTACAGTGCACACGTGATGCCCAGCTCAGCCAGATTGTCTTTATCCGACACGGGTAGCCTGTGTGTCCATGCCAGATCAGACCCAGAGGAAGAGCTGCTATGAGACTGAGGAAGAAGACGAGCATGTAAGCAAAGACATGTGCAGATAATGGGACCATAAATATGAGAGTGAAATTGTGTTGGAGGGACTAAGTTGTACTTCATTTAAAAATAAATAAAAATGTAAAAAAGTATTATTTTTCATATATATATATATATATATATATATATGTTTCATTCAAATATAAATTAATGTCAGGATTGGACTGCCTTTGTTGTGTTTTGCTCCCCATGTGCTCCCCGTGACCCAGTTATTTGGTTGTTCCTGTTCCTATCCTCGTTGTCTCTTAATTAGTTATTCTGTTGACCTGTGTTCCTCCCAATTCCCTCGTTATCCTGTGTGTTTAAGCCCCAGTCTGTTCAGTCTGTGTTTGTCGGGTCTACATGTTGTGAACGTGTGTCATCTTTAATAAAAGACTGTGTTTGCTATTCTACGTCTCCATCGTTCCTTCCGGCAGCATTACGTGACAGAAGACCTGACCTACAAACTATTTAAATACGTGTCTCCACTCCGTTTGTTTTCCGTTTTCCATTCAGTGTTTTTTGTTTTGTGTTTCCTTCCCCATGGATTCCTTCGCTGTCAAGTTTACCTCCCTCGCCCGCAAGGACCTTTCCCTCTTGGAGTATGCTGTAGAGTTCAACCAGCTCGCCTTTTTAACTCCCTGTTCTGTATCGGGGCCAACTACTACCGCCCCGTCGACCTCCCAGACACCACCGGACTGTGCTGGAGGAAGGCTATCATCCAGTGTCTGGAGAGCGTCTACCCCCGATCCAAAGCACAGCCAGACCCAGAGCCCAGCCCATCATCACCCTGCTGCGCGGAGCTTAAGACCGAGCCCACCGCTGACGGAAAGGCATCACCAGAGAAAGCAACAGTGCTGAGGATCGCCCCAGAGCCCGAACCTGTGACGCAGACAAGGTGCGAGAGCCGGCTACAGAGATCGCCACGGGGGAGAGCGTCATGGACAGTGAGAGCGCGGTGTTACGGCCTACGCCTTGAGTGCATCTTCCTTCATGTGACGTCATGTCTCCCCTAATCTTTCTCTTTGAGTCTGATTGTTTAGGTCCGCCCCAGTGCACCTGCATCTCATGGAATGAGTGATTACTAGCTATATAAAGGACGCTGAAGTGGAGCATGGAAGGGAAGGAGATCCTCCAGCAAACAAGCTTTATTACCCCTTTTTCTTTTTGTTGACTGACTTTGGAGTTGCTCCGTGGTTTGGGGAAGTATATTATCCTTTGCTATTTATTCTATGTTAATTTGTGTTTCCCGTTTTTTTGTTTGGATACGTGTTTCCATTTGTTTTATGCTCCGTTTTGTTATTTAAATAAATATTTTTGCCTGGCATTTGGATTCACGTGTCCTCTTTATGCTGCATCCCCCTTTCTGGCTAAACTTAACAGGGGTTTGTAACAAAATGGGGGCACCGTGGCTGAGGGTGAGCTGTCTAAGGATCTGGGTAAAGGAAAATTAAAAAGAGACTTAATTGATTTGTATACCAACCTGCCCCGTTTACTTTGGCTCCTCCCTCCGTCGTCACCTCCCTGGACTCTGTCTGCCGGCTCCCTCCCAGGTGTCCGTCCTCCTCCCTCTGTTGGTTCTACGGCGTGAGGACGCACCTTCTGGGAGGGGGGTGAAATGTCAGGGTTGGACTGTCTTTGTGTTTTGCTTCCTGTGATCCAGTTTCTCCCTCTTGTGCCCTTATTTGGTCGTTCCTGTTCCTGTCCACTTTGTCTCTTAATTAGTAATTCTGTTCACCTGTGTTCCTCCCAATTCCAATTATTTTATTATTAAAGCAATATTTTTATTATTTTAATTGGCTCACATTTGGGGCAAATGCTACCATGATGTGGCAAGTTAAATAATATTGTTTTTTTTTCTAATTACGTTAATAAAACTGATTTGTTTTTCTTCAATAGCCGTCTTGAATTATTATATATTTTTTTATTATGCATTAAAGACAAGGAAATGTTTGTTAATGGAGGTTGCTGATGGGTTAACAGTGTGAGAATAGTATTTTACAGTAGCTTAGACTCTTGGCCCATAAGACACAGATCCAGACTTGCCCTGCTGTATTCCATTGTGTACATCAACAGAGGATTTAGATGATGATAAATCAATTAAAGACAGACACGTTATCACACTTTTTAGGTAGCTTCTTGCAAAACAAATAAATGATAATTACTATATGAAATAGTATGAACACGCTTGTACATTGTTACAAAAAAATATTGCAAATAAATGCTGTTCTTTTTTCTTTTAATTCATCAAAGAATCCTGGGAAAAAGTCACCAAAATATTATGCAGTAAATTGGTTTTCAACATTGATAATAATCAGAAATGGGAAAATTTCTGATTCTAAAAAATCAGAATGATTCCTGAAGGATCATGTGACACTGAAGCCTGGAGTAATGATGCTGAAAATTCAGCTTTACCATCACAGAATTTTTTTTTACAATATTTTAAAATAGAAGTTATTTTAATCATTTTAGTGGTTGTAAATAAGTTTGTTTATATATATATATATAATTTATATTAAACATTTATTTTATTTTATTAAAATAAAATGTTTTGTTGTAAGATATTGCAGTTGAAATATTTGATAGTGTTGTTCTGTCACATTGTTGAAGGGGTCATCACTCATGTTTGACAGATATCAGTGTCTCGTTAATTTCACTCACCACTGGTCAGTTAGGCTACCCTGGAGACAAATCCCGACCTGACAGCTCGACTGTTGTTTGTTCATCCGGAATAAGAGATGGAAACAGATTTAAGTTTTGCTGCTCCAACTGGAAACTCCAGAAAATCTATAGGCCTACTGATTCCACTGGTGTGAGAGGATGATTCTCCAAGTGTCAGTGCTCAAAAAAATCAATTAAAATAAATAATAATAGTAATAAGGCTTTTCACACTCCGCCTAACCCCGGATAGAGAAATGTTTTGTACTTGCAATTTAGAAGCTGAGTCAGCACTGCTTTTTACCCCGAAGTTACAGGAAACCCTGCTATGGAGCTTTTTTTTATTTTTTTATATATATACATTCATCCTAAACATGCAATTAGCCTACCAGGGAAGATTTTTATTATTTATTTTTAGGAAATGTTCTTCTTTAACAGATTTCTGATCTTGATGATTAGCGAATAATTAACCAGTGCACTAACTAAATAAATAAATGAACTGTCAACTGAATTTGGAATCGCATAAAAGCATTGCAGAAATACTCTTGTCCACCTTATTTTTCAATGCGGATGTAAGCTCTTTAGCCACTGTACACCAAATAACGAAGTGCTGTAAACAGTGAAACTGTTTGCACTACAAACCAATGTGTTCATAATTAAAACAATATGGCGAGAAACACCAGTTTGCAATATCCAGCAGGAAAACGAGCTGTTTTGTACAGCTAAAAATAGCTGGAAGTGGATGAGACCGGAAGCCGGAAAAATAAGGTGGATAGCGAAGAATTCATCAATGATCTTTATTCCAATAAATAAAACTGAACATACTAATAATCAAAGATATTGCAGAAATAGTAAGGATAGTATGCTATTCTCAGTGACCCTGTATGAGGTAATGGGGCAAAATGGGAAAAATGACAGGTTAGCAGAGAAAGATTTGGAAGCGATCGAGCACATGGCCTGCAGATTTTCCCATTTCCGAAACATGCCAAAAAGTTCTCCATGGGACGTGATATAAAGTGCCATTTCCATATGAAAGCTTTGGCTTAAATACAAATGTTGCTATTGGAAAAGTCAAATGTGCTGTTGTTACCCAGACGGCACAGCGCCGCTTAACGGTGATGGAAACTGTGCTGCGAACCTGGAAAAAGTGTCTCTTTAGCAAAAAGATGGAACTGCAAATCCTATCGCCTGGAAGGATGCGTTGTGACGTATTCACATTTTGGGTTGCATAAGAGTGCTGTAACAGTGAAGGAATGTACATCTGCTAGACGTCGCTGTCTCGCAAACTCGTTCCAAGCGGCATTAGTCTTCCTTTACACCTCCAATACTCAATTTAAAGTATCTGGTGCTCACAG